TCTCATACACATCTCGATATGTATAAGAGACAGATATATATATATATATATATATATTTATTTTGTTTGTTTTTGCATGAATTTGTAAAACATAAATTTAACAATGCTGATATTCAACTTCAATAATCTTCAAGGTCGTCTCTGATTTAAAGAGAATACTTGGCAGTGAAACATTTGCCAATATGAAACTGTAGGTGAAACTAAGGTAAATGTGAATTATACATTTAAATTTCATATATAATTATTCTTCTCATTCTGAACCTGACCTCAACTATATAAAATTGCCTACTATTTCAGACATAAAATTATGATCCCCAACTAAATGTAGGGTGTGTGGCTGGTACTTATTAAACCTTACATTGATGTGTCTGTAGAATGCAGCGTATGTCATAAATTTGTCCTGTTTTAAGTGGTCAGGGAAGCATGTGAAACAGTAATAAATTGAAAAATATTTCAGGGTTTGAAATGGGCACCCATTTTTTTGGTGGAAGCCTCCCTATCCCTAGCCAAAGGGTTTTAGCAAAAGTGGTTGTATAATACAAAATATATTCCATGTTTGACACCCCCACATAAATGTTAACTATAAACAAAAAAGGAAAAATGTATATAACTGCAAAGACTGGAATGTGTTGGCATATTTACATTGCGATTCAAGTACAATCCTGGAGACTGCAAAATGACGTTTGTTATTTTTACGGTTTTTAAATTGTTTATTTGTATCTTTCTTTCAGATACAATTCCCAATTAATAGATTATGGTGATTGCCATTTTTATGTATTAAACTCTATATATCATATTTTTTCCAGTGTATCTTCATAATTTGTTTTTGATGTTTAACTTCTGTTACCTAAACTGAATTTAATAAGAAGTATTTCATATAGAGGAGCTGTTTCTATGGTATGCTCTTCCAGATAGTCAACTAAACAAATCTTACAATATTACACATTTAAGAAATCAAATTACTTAAAATGATTATCTGGTTCACTAATATTTTATTGATTCAGTTATTTTGATGGTGCAAATTAAGGAGATTATTTTTACAGTTAACTTGTAAATTATGGTGATTTTCTTGTTTTACTATTTAACAGATAAATTTTAGTGTCTTTGTATTTATATCAATGTACTACTTGAATATTCAAATTGTATTTTAACACGGCTCCAGGGAAGAACAGCCATTTTGGCTGAACTGGGCCTAAATAAAGTTATTATTATTGTATTATTATATATCCTATATTTTATTTACCATTGATATGGATGTATGTTTTTTTGATTGAAATAGTTTTAACCATCTAAGTACTTCTTTTCCAGATGATTGAAACCATCAAGATGATAGAAAAAATGACTGGGTTTGAAAGAGGCAAAGGCAAGAAAACTAAGTCGATCATTGACTTGAAAGTGGTAAGTATGTTATATTGTTTTATACAACAAAATTTCTCAATTCATACATTTTGTTAAAATTGCAGATAATTTGTTGATGGGACAGTCTTGCAAGCAATTTAATTAAGTTTAAACAGTAGTTGTAAAATTAATTAAAAATCATTACTTTTATTCGGATTTTCAGGATGTGCCACAAGAAGAAATAAGCAGTGCATTACGGAGCAAAGAATTAGATCACCCCAGTTAGTGGTGTTTGTAAACGATACAGATAATGAGAATCCCCAGTGCTTTGTGGTGGGTGACAAAATCACTATTTCCTGTTAGGGTGGTGTTGCTGCTGCTCTGATACAGCTTATTGCTGTATACTATGTTTTCCAGCTTGAGTATCCAAGGGTATACAGTCAGGTTTTGGGTCTTTTACAGACATTATTGACAGGTGAGCCATATTGTGGTTTGATGTCATCAAAGTATATGAAGTTTGCACCTACTATTAAGGCAGCAATGAAAGCAGCAGTACAGAAGAAAAATGATGAATAAGTTACTGTAGTTCAACTATTCCAATATTTTTATGGATACTCATAAAATGTTGAATACAAGACCCAATGTCATTAGGTCTTTTATTCAATGCGTATGGATATCCATAAATATTTATGGTTATCCATTAATGTTGAATAAACATTTTTACATTTTTAATGAAAATAATGTGAAAGTGTCTAAGATTACTTTCTAAACAAAACGTTTTTGGGGATGTCATTTTGTCTTTTATTGAATATTTATGGCTATCCACATATATTTATTGATATTCATGAATAGTTATGGCTATCCATAAATGTTGAATAAAAGACCAAATGACACCCAATACTTTTCTTTATTAACCAGTTATCTAATTGAAATGTTAACATAGTTATATATTGAAATTTTGCATTTTTTATAAAAATAATCCTTAGAATAATTCGTAAACATTACATTTCTATAAATACTGTGTTTATCACAGGTGTTAATCAAACTTTTTGAAATTTTGCATTTTTTATATAAAAATAATGCTTAGAAAGTGTCTAAGAATATTTGTAAACATTACATTTCTAAAAATCCTGTGTTTATCACAGGTGTTAATCAAACTATTTGAAGAGTGTTTATGTTAATTAAACACTATGTTTAAAATGTTGTTGAATATATACATACAAAAAGTGTTACAGAGCTGTAAACAGTTAAAACTGTTTAATATGTACATGCTTTGAAGTGTTTATTAAATAAACATTGTGTTCATTAAAGTGTTTATTTGGCCTAAATGTGGTGTTTATTTTCTCTAAACATCGTGTAGAATTGCCTCATGCTCATGTGTTTAAAAATTAAACATTTTGTTTAACACTAGACACATTGAAGTGTTTATAAAGTGTTACAAATTAAACACTTTAACATATTTATTAAAGTGTTTAAATCTTAAACACTTTTATTTGCAGTGAAGGACTTGATTAAATATCCTTAATACTTTATTTTATGCTGTGTGTCTATACGTTAGATGTACTTAAGAATTATTACCTTATAGTTTATATGCGAAATTGTAGTAGCATTGTATGCCTGTAGGTGAAACTGTAGTATTCTTGACACCGTACATCCATACATTTGATGCTTATACATTTGAGAAACCAAGTCTGAATGTAGTATTGATCTTGACGCTGTGCATCCACACGTTAGATGCTCATTTGTTCATTTGTTTGAGAGATTAAACCTCAATATTATAACTATATTACCTCGTATTGTATCTGTTACGAGCCTACTGATGACCGTATGAGGGCGCAGTGCGAATAAAAGACGGTCACGTTGCTAGCGTCAAACTGAGAGTGTGTTGTGTCATTTGTCTATGACTAAACCCACATATTTATAGTAACTAAACTATAACATGGTGTCAGAAGTGGTGCAGTTTAAACTTTAAACCCTTTAAATGACGAAGGAGTTGTATTCGAAAGCCGAAACACAGTTTGTTACTTCGAAAATACATAGTTTAAACAGGGACTCGCACGGTATACCGCCAGCCAGGCTGAACGCGGTGAGTTCTATTAGTGATACATACCTAGCTAGATGACCCCTGGTGACCTAGGCCTAGCCGATTGGCGCCAGTACAACATAATTAACCATGGCTGTAGCAGCGACGTCGTCGATGGTAAACACATTACCGGCACCAAAGCCGATGTTATGTACGAAAGATACTGAAACTAATTAGAAAGAATTCAAGGAATCGTACAATGAGTACATCATAGCAACTGAGTTGAATGCAAAATCTAAGTTAATTCAAAGTGCAACTTTGAAAACTGTGATGGGTGCAGAGTGCAGGAAGGTTTTAAGAAATCTTAACCTAACTGAAGAAGATTCCAAAGATCCAGACAAAATACTCCAGGCCTTAGATGACCAGTTCCTTAAACAAAATAATATCTTGTTTGAACGATACAAATTCTATAATGCTGTTCAACAACAGAACGAAAGTATTGAGCAGTATGTTGATCGATTGCGTTACCTAGTTCGAACGTGCAAGTTAGAAGCGGTAGAAGATGACATGATAAGAGACCGACTAGTCTTAGGAGCAAAGGATAGTGCTGCTCGAGCCAGAATCTTCAGACAGAAAGAAATTGCATCCTTAAAGGATTCCATAGCAGTCCTAAAAATAAGTGAATCTACAAAACAACAGATCCAATCAATGTCAGTAGAAGATCAAAGCGCAGTAAATTATGTGAAGCACAAAAACAAGCATAATCCAAAAAAATTCACTTATCAAAAAGGTACGTCGTCAAAGCCTGTGATCAAAAATTGCCAAGCGTGTGGAAACACCCACGAACGACGCAAGTGCAAAGCCTATGGAACAAAATGCACAAAATGCGGAAAAATGAACCATTTTCCGTCTGTGTGTAGAAATACTAAGCAAGCCACACACAGCAAACAGAGACGTACACCTCGAACGCATCAAGTTGAAGAAGATGAAGATTCATCATCAGAATCAAACTTTCATTTAGAGAGTGTAGAAGCTGTCAACAACATTGGTGACAAGAAGCTGATGTTAATGCTCCAAGTAGAAACTTTATCAGGTACATCCGCAAATATTGAATGCGAAATAGACACAGGAGCATCCTGCTGTATAATGTCTCAGGATGACCTTGATAAGATAGAAATGAACATGAAATTAATGCATTCCAGTACCAAACTGAAGATGTACAATGACCAAAAGGTAAAGGTGCATGGTGAAGTAGAGCTAAAATGCCTATATAAAGGAAATGAATACAAGCTTCCATTCAAAATAATGCACACAACACAAGCACCATTACTTTCTAGAGCTAAAGCACTAGAAATGGGCTTAATAACAGTGGCAGAAGACATCCATCAGACTACAGTTCAAGATAGTATCAAGAGCATACTAGATACATATAGCGATGTTTTCGAAGGCCTTGGTTGCCTACCAGGTGAATACGAGATAACAATAGATGAATCCATACAACCAGTAAAAAACCAACCGAGAAGAGTTGCAGTTGCTATTAAAGATGAACTCAAATGTAAACTACTAGACTTAGAACAAAGAGGTATCATTGAGAAGGTAACTGAACCTACGGATTTGCTCAGTAGTATGGTTGTTGTTAAAAAACCAGGAAAACTCAGGATCTGTTTAGATCCAAAACCACTGAACACAGCAATAAAAAGAGCAAACTATATGATGCCCACCGTTGAAGATATCTTACCAAAATTAGCCAAAGCCAGAATTTTCAGTGTCCTTGACGACAAGGATGGATTTTGGCAGGTTAAGCTAACAAAAAAAAGTAGTTTTTTAACTACATTTGGAACACCATTTGGGCGGTACAGATACCACAGAATGCCATTTGGTATATCAACAGCACCTGAAGAATTTCAGAGACGACAGCATGAGATAAGCGAAGATTTACATGGTGTTGCAGTCATTGCTGATGATTATCTAGTATACGGATGTGGAGAAACAGATCAGGAAGCAAAGGACGACCATAATGCAAACCTAAGAGCATTCCTAAAAAAGGCTAGACAAGTAAACTTAAAGCTAAACAGAAAGAAGGCCAGGTTGGGACTCAAAGAAGTCAAGTACATGGGACACATTATTTCCCAGGATGGGCTTCGACCAGATCCAGAGAAAATAACAGCTATAGTACATATGCCAAGGCCTGACTCAAAACACCTTGACTATTTTGAGTGTCTGACGGTTCCTTTTCTGCTCTAAGGAATTTCCTGTTTCTTCTATATTTTCTTCCATCATTGGTCTCAACTAAATATGATCGAGGACCAACTTTCTGTAAGCATTTGCTCTTTCTCCATTCTGAATGTTGTTGATCAGGTTGGATTCTCACAGTCTCACCGATGTTTAGGTCTGGGAGATCCTTGCATTTTTGGTCATAGTAGAATTTTGCTTTCTTTCGCTTTGTGACAATATTATCTATGAAATTAGTCACTATCTGAGGCTTTAACAGCTGTTCCGTAATTGGCAACTGCGATCTGGTTCGCCTTGACATTAGTTTCTGTACTGGGCTGTTACCCTCTTGATCTGGAGTGTTTCTCAAGTCCAATAACGCCAAGTAAATGTCTTTGTTGTCTTTTCTAGCTTTCCTGATGAGATGTTTAGCTATTTTGACAGTGGCTTCAGCTTTGCCATTACTTTGGCTATGCAGTGGAGAACTTGTGGTATGTTCAAAATCCCATGCCTTGGCAAAATCTTCATACTCTTTTGAGATGAACTGCGGACCGTTGTCCGTTACCACTTTTCCGGGTATTCCGTGTCTTGCCAAGTGTCGCTTGGTACATTCTATGACAGTGCTCGATGTAGTATCTTCTAATTCGTCTACTTCCCAGAAATCAGAGAAGTAATCAACTGTGATTAAATAATCTCGTTGGTGAATAGTGAATAGATCTTGTGCAATATGTTGCCATCGCTCGGTGGGGGGTTTCCACGTCATCAAACTCTCCTTCTGTTGCTTTGGTCTTAGTGCATTACAAATTTCACAACTGCTTACCAAATCTTTGATTTGGGATGCCATTCCATGCCAAAACAAACTATCTTTTGCTCTTCTGATGCATGCTTCAGCTCCTTGATGGCTGCTATGTGCTTTTTTGAGTAACAATGATTGCATGGTCTTTGGCACAATGATCTGTTGCCCTTTGTACAAAATACCATCCTGCATTGTAATTTCATCCCGGAAGGCGAAATATGCTTGTACTGCCTTTGGCACATCAGATTTCAACTCAGCCCATCCATGCTGGACCATTAACATTAATTCCATCAGATTGGCATCTGCTTTGGTTGCATTTTGTAGTAGCAGTTGTGTGCTTCTGCTTACATTCACATATTCAATTTGGTTGATGTGTTCTATTTCACTACATATCTGCATCTGCTTACGGGTGTTCTTCAAAAATGCTCGGCTTAGGAAATCAGCGATTAGCATATCTTTACCCGGAATGTGTTGAAGCTTAAGTTCATACTTCTGTAATCTCAATACCATTTGTTGCAACCGTTTTGGTGCGCTGTGTATTGGCTGTCTCTTATACACATCTAATCCAAGTTCCAATGTTATTGAACCAGCGATCACTCAACCAGACAATGCATTAACTAAAGGAAAGCCGATTACACCTGTTGAACAGACAAGCAACATCCCGACACAAACTAGTGTTTCAACAAGAACCAGGTTAAACATACAGAAGCCAGCAAGATACAAATATTATGTTATGAACTAGAGTTTACACAAATCTTTGTCATGTGAACAACAGGAAGGAAGTTATGCTATTAGTTCCAGTTTTAATTCATTGTTTGATTGTTGTTGATTTTACGCTTTTTGCTAATGTGGACATTCATTGAACTCTATATTTAAAATAACGGTATTTACTGCATACATGCATCTCATTCAGCACTCATTGGAAAGAAATAGGGCAGAATAAACCCTAATATGACCTAAGAGTAGTCCACCTCAATGATGGTCACCTTGCTTATTTATTTGTTTAACTGTAGTTCTTAGAATTAGTTGTTAGTGTTAAAGTTTTATAAGACGCTGTTAAATCCCTTAATTACTGAACTGATAAATCAAACATACTTATATAATTTTAAAAGAATAACAATAACAATAAATTAACTACATAGACAACAGAACAAAATAGTCATAATGCTTAACTTGAATTCATATATCTATAGATATTTCAAATGCTATATCATCATAATAGAAAAATAAGAATCATCAATATTCTTCAATTAAAGAAAGGGAGATGTTACGAGCCTACTGATGACCGTATGAGGGCGCAGTGCGAATAAAAGACGGTCACGTTGCTAGCGTCAAACTGAGAGTGTGTTGTGTCATTTGTCTATGACTAAACCCACATATTTATAGTAAATAAACTATAACAGTATCTTTATTGTCGTATACTTACAAAGTGCATAGTGGTGGATGATTGATACCTGATCCTTTATATCGGATCCTAACTAACTTGTAACAATACTCATGCTTCCTACACGGTTGTTAAATTGTAAACCCAGGTTTTCAAATGATTCAAAAGTAAACTTGATCTGTCTATGAAAAGCATTAAAGTAGCTTAGAATTTGCGGGAAATCATTGGGCTTAGCTAATACTAGGGTGTCGTCAACAAAACGAGTATAAAACTTAATATTACCAGATTCAATAAGTTTAGGAACAATAGACTCTTCTAGTTCAGTCATTAAAATATTAGCTAAAACTGGGCCACGAGGCGAACCGATTGAGGCACCATTAGTTTGTTTATAAAATTCATTATTACATGTAAATACAGTTTTAGTACAGCAATCTCTAAGTAGTTTCCTTAGCGAATTTTTCTTAAGGTTAGTAGATATCGGTTTCTTATTGTAAACCCTATCAAGAATTATATTAATTACCTTAGTAAGGGGAACATTTGTAAACAAAGATTCAACATCAAAGATACAAATCGGTAAACTAAATCATATAAATTGTTTGGTATAGCTTTAATGCGGTCAGCAGTATCAAAAGAATCTTTCAGGACAAAATCATTAACCGTTAGAGGGCCTAATAGATTTGATAAGAACTGAATAATAACAAGTACCGGTCGTGTCAATAATAGGTCTTAGGGGTGGAATATTATCAAAATCTTTATGTAATTTGGGTAGTCCATGGGCTCTAGCAGGCATGGTTGATACTAGACGAATGTCTTTGTATTCAGTTTCAGTTAGTTCATTTCTATTAAATAGTGTCCGGAGGTAGGCTTGTAAGGAGTTTTTCATTCCTGATGATGACATAATTAATGTCGAAATATTGAATCCCAACACGATGGCGTGTATTTCAATACTTGGAGTATGTATTATACTTTCTTATATATAATAACCTTAATGAATGGATATGAAAATGAACAATAATTAAAATAGGGACATGGTGTCACTACTACAATAATAAGGTGAATACTTTTCAATCTTATAATCAATTTTGTATAGCCGGAGTTAGTATTGACGGTCACCTAGGCTACTATGGCTAACGACAGGTACGCTTTTTCCAAGAAAAAGGCTTTTTCTATAAGTGTAATGACCTGTACAAAGCACGAGCTCCTGTAGACCAAACCAGTACCGTTACGATTTTAATCGTGCGGGAAATACACCCAAGATAGATAGTTTAACTTCCAACCATGCCAATCAGAGAACTTCTTTCAAAAATATATTATTTTTAGTGCTTGAGCGCAACAGATTCATCCACCAAGAAATTATGAAAAGACACTTCAAAGTAATCTTCATTTATTGATGCCTGTTTATTCTTTTTTACCATGTTGAGTGTTACTTTTCTAAAATTGCTAATGTCAAATATATTGACGTAAGACAAATTAGCCAATCAGAAAGCTTCTTAAAGCAGGTTATTCCAAAGACTTGTTGACATAAAATAGCGAAAATGTTAAATGATAAATAAAACAATGCTGGATGTTTTTTTTTTTAAATTACATACATCATTAACAAATAACAACAATGCTTATGTAGTTATAATACGGTAACTGATTTATGGCTGTTTATACATGGCGGTCATTTTGCATTCCATTTTGAATTTATTCATATTGGTTATCACATTCAAAATTGTCTCAAATGACTTATTGACCCATAAAGCCTGATATTTATGATAAAATCCGCAATTACAATACAATTTGTAGCTGTTTATGATATTGGCGCCATTTTGGCGGCCATCTTGAAAAAACCCACTTTCCGGTGGACATTTTGTATGTTATTTAGCATATCTAATACTACCAAAATCCGTTGAAAAACCTTTTGTTGCAATTTTTTTTGGGGGTTATGCCCTTTTTTGAGCTATATCTACTATACTAATAGGTTAATTAGTGTATAACTATTCGTATATATGTACAGTCCGCCCTCCAATTCGAGACCCCTCTAATTCCATGGCCCCTGTAATTCGAGACCACAAAGTACCAACTAACCACCTATCTTTTATCACGGACCTTACCCTCTAATTATGATACCCCTCTAATTGGAGACTCTAATGGAAGTACCAAGTGACAAATGAACTCCAATTAAGGACCACTTCAAAATAAAAATCAAACAAATTCAAGTTTTTTTTTTAAATTGAATACTCTGTATTCTAAAAAATTGAACTTCAACATTAACAGATGTATTTTCATGAGTTTATCATAAATACGGGTTTGCTAATAAGTGTCGGTGGGCTATAAAATGGTGATATTTCCTTAAATGTACAGGTCTTAAATGAAGCAATTATTGTCCTGGGCATTTAGACACCTTGTGAAAAGAAGATATGCACTGTAATTGAGGAAACATTGGTACAATTTAATTTAATAATATCGGCGCTGGTTCGAACGACACGCTTGCCTATCGTTCTGGTGGTAGAACAAGTCTTATCGGATAAGGACTATAAACCGTAGGCCCAGTGTATTCAGTGCCTCGTGTGCGCTATAATGAATCTAGTACATCCTTCGAGACGAGTAGGGGATTGTAGAGCCCACAAATGTAAAAATCTAACACAAATTTAAAAATAACCACAAATGTCAAAACATTCTACCCGAAAATGTCAAAATGACCGCAAATGTCATAACATGTCAACCACAAATGTAAAAATAACCACAAATGTAAAAAAATCGCCCACAAATGTAAAAATCTGTTTAACCACAAATGTAGTAACATTTCACCTACAAATGTAAAAATTTCCATTTTTACTTCAAATGTCATAACATGTCAACCGCAAATGTAAAAAATTTCCTAAGCACTTAAATCCTTAGGATATTGAAAATACCCTAGTTAACTGCTATAGTAGAGCAGCTAAAGCACCAAGTTGCGCATTTTAGTAGAGCAGCTAATGGCCAAGTTGTGTACTTTATTACCAAAGCATAAAACTTGGCACAAAATATCTTTAATATGTGTGAATTTAAAAAAAAAAATGTGTGCCAAGTTTCTGACGTCTGCTATGGCCGCCATTTTGAATTTAAAATGACCGCCTCTAAAAGACGGAATCCATATATCTTGGCAATGGAAAATCGTACAGACTTAGTTTTGGTCTGAAATTGTTGAGAACATACATGTTGCTGCTTGTTCTAATGTAGCACTTCGTCCAAAAGTGATAGGAAATGCCATTTTTGACCTTTGAGCCTACATGAACCGGCATATCCATATCTCTAAAACTGTTAGTCATAGAAACCTAGTTTCGGCTTCAAAATGTTCGGAACATGCATGTTTATATTTGCTCTAATATAAAATTTTGCCCAAGGGTGACCAGAAAAACATTTCTGACCTTTGACCCTAGATATCCAGCATCATCCATATTTTAAAAAACGGTTGGCCACAGAGACCTAATTTTGACCTCAAATGTTTCAGAACATGCATATTCCTATTATACAACATGTTGTCCTAAAGTGACCGGAAATGAAGTTTATAAACTTTGACCTTAGGTACCCTGTAGGATATTTAAATCTCCTTAACCGTTGGTCATAGAGACCTAAGTTTAGCCTCAATTTGTTCGGAACATATATATCTTTATTTGCACTAATACAACATTTTTTTTTCTAAAAGTGACCGGAAATGACATTTTTGAACTTTGACACAAAGGACCTAATAGCATGTCTATACCTGTATAACCATTGGTCATGGACACCTCGTTTTGGCCTCAAATTGTTCAAAATATGCATGTTGCTATTTGAACTATTGCAATGTTTTGTCCAAAAAGAGATCAGAAATGACATTTTTACCAAATATATGGAAATTATGAATGTTACATTGTCAACTTCTTCAACCTCTTTTCTCTTTATTGTCATTTATAGGATTCCACCAAACACTAAGAACAAACTTACGTTTTCTCAGTTTCTGGAGGAATTCTCTTCATTACTTGACTTGTTGAGCAAAGGATCATCGAAATTGGTAATCACTGGTGATTTCAATATCCATGTCGATGCTCCTGACATTCGAGAATCTCGTCTATTTTTGGAAATCTTAGATACTTTCGGTTTGGAGCAGCATATCCATGATCCG